TGTCGACGTTGGCGGACCGCTGCGCTGATTCTCCCAGAACGCGAACAATGACACAATGTCGCGGGTACTCATGTGGGTGAATCGCATTTCTGCTCTGCAGTTGAACGTCATCCCCGCGCCTCCGCTCTGGCCAAGGGGGGAAAACGATCGCGGCCGACTGCAGTCATTGGATTGTCCCGACCGTCCGTATTCTCGGATCCGACCGTCCATATTCCCGGATCGGACCGTCCGTATTCCCGGTTCGGACGGCCAGCAGGCGCGCGCGGAGGGCCCACGCGGAAAACCACATATATGAGGCAGGCCCACCACTCCCCATCGGAACATCCCGACCGTTTGTATCCCCGGATCGGACGGCCAGCAGGTGCCCGCGAAGGGCCCTCCCGAAAAACTATATATATGAGGGAGGGCCACCAATTCCCATTTTCGTTTCAGTTCGGCAACGCAGCAGTAGCGCAGCGCATCGGAGGTTCGTCGACGCAGCGCAGCGGAGGCTCGTGCCACAGCACAGCGTAGTGGAGGCTCGTGTACAGCGCGGCAACGGAGCGCAGGGATTCGGTCCGTGCATAGCAGACCACCTGTTCGACGCAACGGCGGACCACAGCGCTGTCGAGAGGCCAAGATCGCGACGCACAACCACAACGGAGCACCCCGAGTTTGAAGGATAGGATGGTGAGGACACAACCACGCAGCCCAGATGCAACCACGTAACGCCACGTGGCACTTCTGACCGTCGAGTCGAACACGATCGTGCCCCATCGTCGAGTTGAACACGATCGCGCCTGATCGTCAAGTCCAACACGATCGTGTCCGATCGTCGTGTCGAACACGACCGTGCCCGATCGTCGAGTCGAACACGACAGTGCCCGATAGTCGAGTCGAACACGATCGTGCCCGATATCTGATTGTTGAGTCGAACACGACAGTTGAGTCGAACACGCTCGTCGAGTCGAACACGATCGTCGAGTCGAACACGATCGCGCCCGATCGTCGACTCGAATACGATCATTGAGTCGAACACAATACTGCCTGATCGTCGAGTCGAACACGATAGTCGAGTCGAACACGATAGTCGAGTCGAACACGACACTGCCCGGTCGTCGAGTCGAACACGATAGTCGAGTCGAATACGACACTGCCCAATCGTCGACTCGAACCCGATACTACCCGGTCGTTGAGTCGAACACGATAGTTGAGTCGAACACGACAGTGACCGATCGTCGAGTCGAACACGATAGTCGTGTCGAACACGATAGGCGAGTCGAACACGTCGAGTCGGACACGATCGTCGAGTCGGACACGGTCGTCGAGTCGAACACGATCGTCGAGTCGAACACCATCGTCGAGTCGAACGCGATCTTCGAGTCAGACACGATCGTCGAGTCGGATACGATCGTCAAGTCGAACACGATCGTCGATTGCGTTCGTCGAGTCCAACACGATGGGTTAGTCTAACACGATACTCGAGTCGAAGACGATAGTCGAGTCTAACACGATACTCGAGTCGAACACGATCGTCGATTGTGTTCGTCGAGTCGAACACGATCGTCGAGTCGGACACGATCATCGAGTCGAACACAATAGGCGAGTGCGATCGAGTCGAACACGATCGTCGAGTCGAACACGATCCTTCCCTGTCCCCTAGTGGAACAAGATTGTGCGCAGTGCAATGTCATCGAATCGTTCATGCCCTCTCGTCAAGTCGAACACGATCCTTCCCTGTCCTCTAATGGAACAAGATTGTGCGTGGTGCAATGTCATCGAATCGTTCATGATAGTGTGCAGTGCTATGGACCTCGTGCGTCGTGTCCTGGAAGATCGTGCATGGGTTGTGTGCGTGGAATTGTGGGCGTGGATTGCGCACATAGATTTTGTGCATTGTGTTGTCGTGCGGCCTGGTTAGTTTCCATTGTTGGGGGGAGCGGGGTGAATAGTTCTATGCTGTTGTTGGTTGTTCTATTGTTGCTGTTGACCGTTGTCCTTGTGCCGTGCAGGGCGTCTTCTCTTCACTGTTGCTATGGAGATCTCTAATATGACCCCAGCACTTTGGCGTGCACGCAAGGCACACCCTTTCCCACCTTGCGCGTTGTACGACCGACAATGTCAGGGCACCGTAACCTATGAAGGCGCTTGTCCAGAAGACTTCGAATGCGACCCTTGGATGAGAATCCTCCCGTTTGGCGACAATCATTTGGACTCGTGGGAGGAGTGCGAGTGGGTGAACATGACGGAGAGATGCCCGTGGGCGTGCGATTATGAGTTCGCGAATATGTCCGAATTCGGCAAACGCATTCCCGTGTCATTCGATGTGCTACGTCCCGTGCGTTTTCCGCTACTGTGTAAAAAGCTAAAAATAAGCCGTGTTGTGGGGGTTTTGGACTGCGAATATGTGACAACCTCGCCTCGCACCTGGTGCCGTGTTATGAAACAGGAGTTACTCGATTGTGCGCGACATTCTCAGTTCCTGGATCATTATCCGTTGCGATCTCCCGGTCTGTCGCCAGGAGCAGTTTCGTATTGTTGTGTGAGATTGCGTCTGGCATACTTTATCTTCTATAGGGTCCTCTATATTGCCGTTTCGAGCAGGGCAAGAAACTTGACCGATGTTGTCGTGTATGTGTCCAGGAACGGGTTGTCTATGTCCGGGAGGGATATGTGTTTAGTTCAAAGAAGGGTAGATGGGAGACTGGATATCGTGGTGGGTGGCCAGGTGGAGGACGTTGTCGCATGGCGCGAGGTCGAGGCTAAAGTCGTTTCGATTCGGGATGCTATAGGCGCTTCTCTCGTCGGGAAGTCCGGGTTCGTGCGAATAACATACATTTCGGTGTTTGCTGAGACGACGCAACAACTGACCTTCGGATCGCCAATTAGCGTGTTGAATGGCCGCAACGGCGAGATTGTTCCCCGTAGTCAGTAGATAGCCTTCGTCCTACTGAATGGTCAAAATGATATACTGAATGGCCGCAATGGCCGCAGCGGCGTGATTGTTCCCCGTAGTCGATAGCTAACCTCGTAGAATTCGCATTGCGATTGCTGTTCTCAATGTGTTATTTCGATAACAATACGCGGTATCTACTAGTTGTTCTCGTCATGTGTTCAGTGGCCAAAATACACACGTTTGACGTTGTTGTCCTCATATTGTTTTTCGATTCATTGAAACCCGAGAATGATGACACGTGTTTTTGGTTTGGCTTTGGACACCGACACATCGCTGCCAGCGGAGTGTATGATTGTTGTTCTCATGTTGTGTTTCCAGTCGGAAAAAAAAAAACTCGTTGTTCTGATGTTTTGCGTGCACAAACATTCAGCAGTCATTGTTTCTCCGTGTTAACCAGTGCTTACGATCTGTTGTCTAGTGTCCTCGTGATCAAGTGCCCCTCTAGGCACCGTCCGCCGACCATTGTGTCGAACACGACAAATGTCGCACAGCACACCCCAGTGTCGCTGTCGTGTTCGACACGATAGTCGCCAGACGGTGCCCGAAGGGGCACTTGGTCTACTGTCAAACGGCAGACGACAGTATCGCTGTCGTGTCGAACACGACGGTCAGCTCCCCTTCAGGCACCGTCTGGCGACCATCGTGTCGAACACGACATGGACACTGTTATTTGGCGACCAGACGGTGCATGAAGGGCCGCTTGGTCGACTGTCGCACGACAGACAACAGTGTAGCTGTCGTGTCCAACACGACGGTTGGTCAGCCAACGCAGTGCCGTTGGGTTCGACAGGACAGTGACACGACGACACCACAATGTTGCTCTCGTGTCGAATTCGGCGGTAATGGAGGACATCGTGGCACGGCCATCGAGTTCGACACGACAGTGAAACGGCGACGAGCTGGCGGGCTGCGACCCGCTTCCGTTACTCTGTGTTCCTGTCTATTCTTGTTCTCAAGTGCTGTGGTGTTTGCACATTGGCAAAGCATTGACTGCTTTCTCGCTTGTGCGTTTTCTTCAGTTGGGACTAGCTGCTCGGCATGGATCGCGAGGGGAAGCCAAACAAACGACGTACTAGTACTGGTTCCGGGAGCATGGATCAGTCTCCGAAAAAACCAAAGGGGACACTGACGACTGGCGTGGGGGCTGGCGACACACCGGGATCTAAGGGCCACCGAACCCCGGTGCTGAGGGGTGCACTTTCTACGGGCACACCTTCCACCCATGTTCGAGGTTCAGGACCGGATTCGGCTGTGTTGATGAGTGGTGGGGCTGCGGGTCGAGAAGAGGAGGCTACTGGTCGGCAGGGGAAATCTGCGATGGACGTTGTGCCCAGGCGTAAAAGGTCTGGTGACACGTCCGTTGCAGGTGTGGGAGACGAGGTGCCTGTCGTCGACCACAAAGACAAGTGTTGGATGTTGGACTGGGTGGGTGGAATCGGGGAACGCTCGGGTGGGCTGGTTTTGTACGTGGTGATCAAAGATAACATTGTTCTGATTGGCGGTGTGGTTAAGTGGAGTAGAGAAAAATCACCGTTTGCCA